CTGTTGTCACTTATGGAATTTCGGTATGAATTTCACCATGTAAGACACGTTAGTTTAGGAGCCTGGGGCAATCGTATCTCGGTGTAGTCATCAGCGTGAGCAGCTCACTCATCAGTCCTACCGTTTAGGTCAGCCTACAACTCTTGACCTCGTGTGTGCATAATGTGCGCTTCTCTGGAGTACGGCTAGTGTCACCTCTCAGATTAAGTGGTGCCGCACCTTATTTGGATGACCTGAAACTAGAAACAGGCATCACATGACTCGAGGTCATGTGATCACCACGGGCGTGGTGTTTATGCATCCAAAAAGGGTGCAGTTTCACGTACTGAGATTGAGTAGCTCCCCATCGCTTGCTTGGTCCAGTACAGTTAAAGTCCGGAAACCAGCCGATCAGCACTAACCACTTGTGATCACTCCAGCAACATAAGATCCGGTACATACTGGCTGGTTCTGTTTACTGTAACTGCTCGCCATCGCCGGAGTGCCCTCAAGGTTTAGGATAGAGTGTTTTGGCACATGAGACTTCATTCTAACCAGACTATTCATACAGTTCACTTGAAGTTGATATATCTCGACCGGATAAATCACGTGATTCATTGGCTTCCGTTCCTCACTACTTTCAAACCCACAAACTATTTGTGTGATGTTTTTTCGCAGTGTTGAATGGCTCTGCGGTAACCTGCGGTGTGCAGCCAACCACGTACTAATAGTATGATACCAACGCGGTGTAATGAAGGTAGGGGAGTTACCTAGCCCTCAGGTACACGGACTCCAAATTCAAAGCAGAATAGTGTGTTAAGCAGCGACCAGAAACCAGTTCAGAAACCACCCACACGGGGTTCGGAGCTCAGTAAATCATTCAGCTGATGCTTTGGTAGTAGAAATTCGTTTTATGACGGCTTTGTTTACCCGTCATTGTGGTATTTGATTGTCTTATGAATGGTTGGTATCCGGTCGACAATGTCCAAAGCGCCGGATCCCTGGGCATAGTAAGAAGCGATAGACGGTTAGTGCGGAGCTGAACGTGTGCTGCGCGCAGGCCTTTAGTGCCGATATAAATCCGAGTGAATAAGGCCGGCGGGCAAACGTACAGAGGACTGTTGCAAGCCCTCGGCCAGCCTAAACACGATGATAGGCACCGGCACCAGTCATCCGGTTATAGTCGACGCACAGGCGTTATCCATATATTGCTTTACCTTTCAACGTGATGCCCCCCCCCCCCCAGTGTAGCAGCGTACACGTGTTGCGGGCAAACGTGCAGAGGACTGTTGCAAGTCCTCGGCGAGCCTACACACGATGATAGGCGCCGGCACTGGGACCAGCCCATCAACACACCACCAAGGTAGTACTCTGCTAACCCTGGGGTAATGATTTTGTCATTCTTAGAATGATAGTGTATGGTGGTTACTCATTACAAAATGGAGCAAACTTACCCTGGTTCCAGACGGTTGCGTTTATCAGGTGGACCGGTGAGTAAGATGGTGACCCACAATGCCAACCATTCTACGCACGTGCGCCCACAAGTTACGTACACAGCACAACAGCTCAACACAATGCAATCTTGGTGTCCATGTGCAAGCGATGACTGGTTAAGGCGAATAAATGCCATACTGTTTTTTGGAATTCGTTCGTTCATTTCATTGCCAAGTGTTAGGTCTGGGTTTGATGCTAAGGTAGCGAAAATTCATGCAGCGCGCTATCTCGTCCATTCGGCTTAACCTGCTGTGCCTTATGTTGGATCCCCAATGGAGGCTGATAAAAGGCAAACTTTTTCATAATGTTCCAATGGAGGCTGATAAAAGGCAAACTTTTCCACAATGCCGGTATTTCGTTAAAAGTGGAACTCTGCTGAGCGCTGTAACTCCGCCTCAGGACTCGCGCAGGTGTTTGGGCCCCGAAACTGTACAGCTAATCAGCCAACGAGTGTTGAATTTGTACACCAATATCTCAGCGACAAAACGCCTCTGTACAGACGATTGCCAGATAAACGCTTATAGGGGTTTGCGCAAGAGCACAGCTCTGCCTCATTCTGGCGTCGCTGAAGAAATCTTTGAAAGTAACTCCACAGTTGCGCACCTGGGGTTTTCATCCCGGTCTTTGATGAGGTTGACAAATTTGTTTGTACAGCCCTACTTCCGTAGTACGATCCACAGTGCTCCTCTGTTGGCTCAAACAAAGGCTTTAATGAGTCCACAAATAGTCCACAGAGAATTTGGTCCTGTCCATAACACGCTCCTTAGATTTGTCTTGCGGCGTTTTGAAATCCACAATGCTATTCAGGAACGCTCTTCTCCAGAATTCCAGCCACTAGTCGATAGAGAAGGATACGAACCATAATCTTGCATCCTGTACGTTAAAACTGATTCCGCCGTACTTGTATGTTTGTCTTCTGTCGAATCGCTTTCCTTTCATACACAGTGATAACCTTTTGATCCTTGAAATCTTGCGTAGCCTCTTCCATCTCCCAAATTCTGCAAAGTAGGTAGAGAAATTCGTTTGGGTTCTGAATTTCGTCCTGTAGTTACGGTCCCCCCAGCTTGAACGATTATGCGGACACACGTCTAGTCCCATCGGTTTATAGCTCTCAGAAATTCCGCGGCAGTAGACAAGTCAGCCAAGTAGTTCTTCACGGCATGTCGCTACACTAGGGCTGCGTAGTCGACATCTCCTGGTGGGTCGAGCTTTTTCAAACGGTTGTTTCCAGACTCCTAGAATTTTATCGAAGTTGTCAAGTTTCCCAGCAGTTTGTGTTTTATCAGTTGAATATGGTGAACGTTCGGTCCACAGAGTTCTCAGTTTGTCAAAGAATTGTTTGTGACACAATAGATAAAATAATAAATAGTCGTTCAGCTGTAACACCCTTTCAGTAAATAGCTGACATGACACCCGAAGGAAGAATTGGGACTGAGATAGTGCCAGGTTGCCCAAGTCTAAATGGGGGCAGCGAGGATGTCAAGGTTTTGCTGGATCCATGGGCCTTCCGATCTGTAAATTTGTCCTCTTACCACTAAATTCCATCTAACTCAACAACGACCACGGCGTACGCCTGAAGGTATTCACTACGTTTGTTCCAGTCTTCACTCTTATCCATTTTGGATGCTTCAGAGGCTTAGTCCTCGCGCTTTTGAATTGCTTTCGGGCGTCTGTGTTCATCGGATCATTGAGTCTCTTGATAAACAGCAAATTATCCTCTCGATTCAGAGTGTATACCAGTTAGTCATTTCGGTCAAATGAATCTCGAATCGATGCATCCTCTTGTAGGACGGAACCCAGCCTCGTTTTCGCGTATCTGCCTCTTGTGTTCATTCACTCATCAAAGGGTAAGACCATAGAGCACCCTCGATGCCACCTGACTGATTCTGTTTCCCCCGTGTCCCTCCCCAACCCCTTCCCACCACAGAATCAATCGCCCCTGGGTCAGTTGACTGTCAGTTATCTGACCGAAGTGCCTTATGCTCCACGCTGCCTATTGACAATAAACAAAAGACCTTTCTTTTAAAGTTCAGTCTCTCGTAGCTTTCCTCGATCAGCTAGCCAGGTCTCACTGATTGCATTGAGGTCTATCCTCTGGGGTTTGAATTCTTTTGCAAAAAGAACAGTTCATCTTTTAGGCCTGTCCCATCCACCGCTATCTAGGAACGTTTTCACGTTTCACATGGCTCAGTGGTTAGAGTGCGGATCTACTGACAGGAAGGTTCGTGGTTCGAACTCGAACTCTGCATCTCGACTCATCCTGTCTAGGCTTGGGCAACCTGACAGTATCCAAACCTTCGTGCTTCATTTGTGTGGCGTGGTAGCTAGGATCCGTAAGGGCATTACGGCTGAACGATTATTTTTATCACATTCCAGTTTCCAAATGGAAGAAGGCGTATCTACCTTCTCCTTATAATCCGTGTCATATGCGGATAGTTGGAGCATTTCGACTGCTGAGCCTCGGTCTGTTTCGATTACCCCATTCTGAGCCTTTAGCTTTAAGTTTGGACCGCTATCACGATGTTTTCCAGGTTTGTTAGCATAATCCGAGCGTTACGAGTGTTTGCGCATCGTAAATTGCTAGAATAATATATCTGTAGCTTTTAAATCAGCTAGGCATACGTTGTTCATATGTATATTACACTAGATCTGAGCGTAGCTCTTGCGTAGCCCACTAGTGCCTTACTAAGGTGGGGTCAATTGAAACAGATGTTTGGTTGTTTAGATTTTATTTGTGAGCCATGACGTTCGCTATCCGTAGCTTGAGAGGGCAAACCAGATTTGACGCTTCCCATGGAAGGAAAAATTAGCTCAGAAAGTCAACTCAAACAGTCTTTTTTTATGGTTGTTCCGTCAGTCATCTGCATACCGTCGGGCCATTCGCAAGGCTCATAGGTTGCCCTGTCTCGCAGTTTAAATTAGAATGCACCTGTATGTTTATCATATCCATAGTTGAACGTTCCTGGTTGCGTGTTCAAAACCTTATTTCCCTTGAGCAACAGTGATTTTGCATATTGCACTGTTCATATCACTTAATAAGGTACGAAGGTGCTTTCAGATTGTTCCGGAATAACGACTTGATGGTACACTGTGCAAACTCGGCCCAACCACCGTCTATGCGACCGAGTCTAGTGTAGTAGATTTCTTCCCGGTGTTTCCCGAAGGAAGAAGTTTGTGATGGAAGAATATAGGTTGCACCTGAGATCGTAGGTGATAGAGAATTCCATTGTGGACTTCTCTGAAGTACTCTCTGTTCCATGGAGGGTGTATGTTTATCATATCCATAGTTGAACGTTCCTGGTTGCGTGTTCAAAACCTTATTTCCCTTGAGCAACAGTGATTTTGCATATTGCACTGTTCATATCACTTAATAAGGTACGAAGGTGCTTTCAGATTGTTCCGGAATAACGACTTGATGGTACACTGTGCAAACTCGGCCCAACCACCGTCTATGCGACCGAGTCTAGTGTAGTAGATTTCTTCCCGGTGTTTCCCGAAGGAAGAAGTTTGTGATGGAAGAATATAGGTTGCACCTGAGATCGTAGGTGATAGAGAATTCCATTGTGGACTTCTCTGAAGTACTCTCTGTTCCCATGGAGGGTTGCTGTATATTTTGATAACATTTCAACCATTTTGTCACTTCTGAGCGTTTGTTATGTAGTGCTTACCAGTATAACATGTATATTTTGATTTTGTGCTTGTAGTGAAAAGTGGGAACGAATACAACAGTTGCAGCTGGAAATCGAAGCTCTGGAGTCGAAACGCAAAGATCAAACTGTTCAAAGTCAGCAAGCGCCCTCACCCTCGCGGTTAAAAAAAGAACCCACTACCTCATCAGAATCGGAGGAGAGTGAAGCAGAAGAATTGTATGATTTTCGAGTAAAAAACACTGTGTGAAAAATATGTAAACTGTGTGTACAGTTTCTTCTTTTCTGTGGTTGTCTTTTCGTTCTGAGACGGGATCTATGGTTACAGATGCTATTTACAGATGTTTGTTTGGCACATTTTATGGTGAAGGGAGATGTTGGCACTCTATGACTAACAGATGACCAAGCGAACTCAGATCGCCACTCCCTACCGCGCACGATCATCCATGTTATCTGTAAAACTGTATAGTCTTCGGCACCCTGCACGTCCTGTCTGTAGGCGAAATTCAATCTCTCTAGTCCGACTGGTTGTTGACATTGTTTCAAAAAGCTTGATAAACCGACCACCGTCCTTGGAGAAACTTTGCATCAGGTCGGGATAACGAGTCCGCCATTCAGGGAGTTCGTGTGGAATGACCAACGTTCCAGACTGCGGGGGTGGAGGAACGAAGGAAATGTTTGTATATTCAGTTACAGTTGTCTTCGGTTTTCACACAGTCGTACTGTCGTACAACAATTCTCGACGATCTCTCTCTTCAGCGAAACTTTAAACTTGGGGACTTCTAACGTCAATCAAACTTTCCTTTTTAATTACCTTAAGGAGTATAAGGGTGCCAAAAATCACGACCACCGCTCAAGACCAACCTTAAGGATAGATGTCCTTTCGTGACTTACCACTGCGCGTTTATCCATTCATTTGCCAGCTTTGAGTAAACAGTGTTGGCCGTGTAACTCGGTACCTATCCGAGAGTATGCGTCAGCGCAAACCAGGTTGTTTGAACCCTGGACCGGCCAGGCACATGACCAGCCCTCCCGATGCAGCTATCAGATCAATCCAGTGGAGTGGTTCAGAGCAGTTAACCGAGTGCAATAAAATCTCCCAAGGTCGTGCACCAAAGAGTATTGGAAGCAGCTAAGGCGATTACCGTTCGGTTGTGTCCTTGTGTCACGCGAAGTCCTTGAGACCACCTTGGTCCATCAAGAATATTCCCGATGAGACAAGCTTATTAGATGGTATCATTGTTTTATACAGTGAATTTTGCTCCGACTCATATCCTCTTTGACCAAATCACTAATTCAACCATCAAATATCCTACCTGCCTTTGCCCGGGTGTCAGTTCGGTCAGGTTTAGTCTGGTCTAGTTCCGTGACTGGGCATGGAGCACATCTTATGTTCAAGTGAACAGTAAAGTTGGACCGCTGAACACTGCATCTGTCGAACCCAATACAATGTGACCTGCCTTTGCCCGGGTGTCAGTTCGGTCTGGTCTAGTTTAGTTTGGTCTAGTTCAGTGACTGGGCATGGAACACATCTTATGTTCAGGTGAATGGTAAATTTGGACCGCTGAACAATGCATCCGTCGAACCCAATACAATGTATACTCCGTAATTTATTCAGCTGTTTGTTTTTATTAGCTTCTGGCTAATGTCAAAGGTATTGGACCACCACTCTCAGTTGTGAACATCACAGGCATCTCACAACTAGAATAACACTAAAGAAGTAGGATTTTTCCTTAAATGCAACATATATCTGGACGACACTAATGTAAGCCAACTAGTCCACGTTTACCATGAACGTCCTAGTGCTTCAAGATAATGAATTCTACAACACCTAGCCGGATTTCGCCTTAGATACCAAGAAAAGTGTAAGACTTGATCATTCCGACTTGTAGCGTGAGTCATTCATACAACATAGGCTCACTTCACCTAGGGGACAAGCCAGTTTTTCAACTGAAGTTTACGACTAGTTCGGCCATAACCAAAGCAATCATCTCACCTTCTCCAGGATCGCGCGTATCCGCCTCAGTCTACGTGGCGTGGGCTGGAAGTCAATGGCCAAGGTGACCACATAGGATTGTCTGGGCGATCTGATACGTTCTATCAGCTCCTCTTCGTAGGCTTAAAAAGAGAGGTTAAAGGTCAAACATAGTGAGCTGAGCGTCGTTACCTATATGTGCGAATACAAAAATATAAGTTCGCTGGGACCATTGTATATAACACTACTGAACTAAGTGGTACCGTTCCGGAACCCAATCGACGCATCATTTGCACTTCATACACATAGGTACATAAAAGCTTCGGAGATGCAGAACGAGTTTGTAGTGGAAAGTGAAGTGCAGCTGGCAACCAATCTCCATCTTACCATCACGAAGCCTGGTTGGAGCTGTGCTACTTTGGATGATGGACGTTCTTCTGCTGGTCATGCCTACGTATCATGCGACCGCGGTCTCGCTTCATCAAGGCTTAGGGTATTATACCACACCTACGTTATCCGTCGAAGGAGCTTACCGGACCTTGGTCAATAAACGGTCTGAGAATTTCGAAAATCTTTGAGAACTCCCTCTCGATTACTCCATCGACACGTATAACAGAACTTTTAACGAAAAGATGTCGCACACTCACCAAAACCGGGCCAAAAACGAAATGCGTGTAACCTGAGATTTTCCATATCAACTTACCAGATTCGTTCCAGTTTACAATACGTATGTCTTCTTTCCCAAAATACTTGTCGATAAACGGATCTAACTGGAATGTAAGAGAGAGGGGGACATTGGTAATGCTGTGATTCAGAGAAGTGGTCTGTCCATAGTTTGGCGGTGTCTGAGAAACTGTTAAACATCCTTAATTCTGGTGTTGTCACTCAGTTTGTGTCTGAACAACAGCTGCTGGAAGGATTCACTTCAAGCACTCTCAATTGTTGCAAATACGACACATCACAACCAGGTACTGATTTAGACTCAAACATGTTGCCTGAGGAGCAACAGTGTCATTCACTAATGATCGACCCTGCATGATTTTTTTCTATGGGAATTTACAACAGCCGAATCTATTTTCAGCGCTTCTGGTCAAACTCAAATCCATTCCATCAAGGTGAATATTCGTATTCCATAGGTGCTTCTTTGTCAGACTTGGTAAGTCCCCCAACGAAATCATCGCATGCGAATAAATTGATCGAATTAAACGAGTTGCTTTTCACGTTTTGAATTCGGTAACCGGTCCAGGTGAATACTGGAGATGGAATGTTCAAGCGAAATACTTCCACATCTGGTTTAGAGAATATTACAAGCCTGATAATATCCATACCGATATCAGTGCGAGTGAAGTCGAGTAGATTGGGAGTTGCGTTGAACATTTAATTTACATTGTGATGAGACCTATTGCTCGACTTTTCGGCCAGCGCGGCTTATCCAAACCATGAACAGGGTCACCCGCGTTGGACGAAACGTCGAACAATCGGGCTTGATACTGTAACCTTGTTTCGTTTCGTCATAACTCAGTTATATAGCATAAGCTCGACTGGTCATGCTGCCACAGGTTGTGTGCAGCATCTTTCCCCGTTTTGTCGTACATGTTAAGGCGCACGAAAATTGCCCGACAAAAGCAGAAAAAACGTATATTGAACCAGAGAGGAGCAGCATTTAGATATGTGGTAAGTGGAATCGACATGTATTCCAGGAAGAAAGACTTATCAATGTGTCTCAAAAAGCTGTACGTTATGCAAACTGAAAGGAATATCCTGGAGATGCAAGGGACGGACTACGAATAGTCTCTCTAGAGGGGTACGGATACACGGACAAAAACAGGATAATTCTCGAACACCATTAAGAACTCTTCGTGATAAATATTTCAGGAAAGTAGGAGTACCTTCTTACGGGTCCCAGAAGGGAATCGAAGTGGATGGGATGAGCACCAGTACATTAATCTGACTTCGTTTGTTGGTGGTACTAAGTCATGCACCAGCAGGCGCTCCGCTAGCTTCTGCTTCCAACACCAGTCCTTAGTACCAAATTTTGACCGCCAAGAAATTTAGCTCTTATCCTCCACAAATCGACTTCTTTAGTGGGTGGATAATATCCCCATTGTTCTTGCGTAAAAGCATGATCTTCAACAGGATCGCCTACCACAAATTTAACAAAGGAATTCGCGCCAAAAACTAGAGTTATGTCTAACTAGAAATGAACCTGTGACTTCTTCATTACCGGATAATTAAGCCTCACACCCAGCTTCTGCCAACACTACTCGTAGTCACATATATGCAATGGGACTCCACATTGGATCGTCAAACCCACACCCAGCTTCTGCCAACACTACTCGTAGTCACATATATGCAATGGGACTCCACATTGGATTCGTCAAACCAATGAATCATGCGCCAAGATAGTAAGCACCGTCAACGAACTCCTTGACTTACTCCCAAATGGACCGGTTCTTAGCTGCCAGTTTATGACATTCACTGTCGCCGAAGCACCAGAAGGCTTTTAGGGAAAATAAACTCTCCGATGGCGATTGAGTTGCTCATGCTTCACAAGTTGCGCTGGTTAGGACATGCACTTCGCATTCGGGTAGCAGTGACGGAAAGATGGGCCGTCTGTGACCTTACAACGAAACATAGAAACGCTGACCAATAAAATCAGTCAGGTTGAAAACTTCCGCTTCGCTGGATGGTAGCCCCGGAACTCAACTCATCAGTGGTTAATGGACACTGGCAGACATGGCTCAATCGCGCAGTCAGTGGTGCTCGTACACCAAAGCTATCGTGTTTAACGTGCAGCTATCCAGTTTCCCGAACCAGCTGATCATGCTTGGGTGTATCTCCCACGCTTTCCCATTTTTGGTCACCCAAACCGTAGCAGGATGAAGCAGGTTAGCCTTAGTACATGGCTGCTTAACTGACAGGGCCCGAACGGGCATAGACTTCTAGGGTAAGTGGAGTATGATGCTTAAACCATAGACCACAATAGTGGGTATACAAAATTTGTCACTTTGGTTTTATCTCATGTCACCTCAGTCGCGAGACGTAAAATATGCAGATCATGTCCGAAACGCGCTTGGCATCAGATTTGAATACGCATACAAGTGAAAGCTGGTACCACGTGATCAAGATCACGGTAAGAAATGTTTTGCTGCAAAACATTTTTTGCACACTGAATGTGCAGACTAAAACACAATCCACTCACATGAGTTCATTTGCAGGCTTGAAAACATTTCCACCGATGAACAGGTGGCAAAACGAAAGATCTAGAGATACGTCTTGTTTCCAAGTGAGTTAAGTGAAACACCGCAGAATATCGACTACACCTATAGCTGTATCAAACTGACAAAATAAAGAGACGCTTGAACTTTCCCACTATGCTAGATAGTCGGGGTGCTGAGTACCCGAAACTGGACCCTGGGTCCTTTTAAACGATCCCCGAGGTTGGTTCGGGAATCAAAAGTACTAACTGCGCACATATGTGTAAATGTCTGCAGTCAACCTTAGCTTTCTACTTTCATAGTATCAACAAGTACCCAAGTATAAATAGTAGTTGGTAAACACAGTTCGCGAGTGAAATGGAATCCCGGTAACGTATTTAACCGACCATTCTACCCGATATCAGTCTCATGATTCTGAATGCTGGTTAGAAAAAGGACCAGTTTGGATGGATGCACTAGCACACGTACGTGCACAAAGGCGTCCTGCTGGTGTCGGGTCATACAAGTTAGACAAGAGCAAGCAGAAATCGACAAATATGCAAATGCAGTATGGAAATGAAAGGCAAGCAGCGCTACGCTATCAGATTGGATTTATTGCTGGAGCTGATGTTGTGTCCCACAGAAATGACGTTCTAGGTCACACTGAAAGTTGGACTCCCTCCGGTTCTTTAGGTTGCTTTTGCACCCTATCGGACACACGGCAGGTGATGCGGTCCTGCTTTCAGACGGTGTAAGTGACTATTAACGACGGAGGTCGGTAGTCCTTCTACATCCCCGGGAATTCAAAATTCTATGACCTGTCACTTACAAGAACAATTGTGTGCATGCTCTTTGCGGTTAGGGATACTGTAAACCCTCCGCATGTGTGTATGCTAACTGGCATTTCTACATCTAGAAAATCCCGTTGTATGGGCTGAATCATGTCCCAATCCTGTCACGTTGAAAGTAGTTAGCAATTTTAGTGCCAGTGTTTTACCGCCCGAGTCTTGCTCAATGCAGTGCTTAAAGACCACGGCCAAATCCCTCCATTCTGTGCCCTTCCTCGCGTTCCACATATATGTGGCCCAATAAATTTGTTGATTGTATGGAAGTCAAAATGGCATATTGCTTAAATATCCCTATGGTTTGAAAAAGAGCACAGTGACGAACATTAATGTTTTCGGAATCTAGTCATCAGGTGAGTACATATCTAATGGTTAAAATAAGAGCGAAAAATGAAATACACCGCGAAGATTGGTTAGTGAAATGCAAAACGTGGAGACACGAACGACTGGTTGTTTGCGCTCCCCCCATGTCGCATCTGGTCGGATGCTGTGAGACAGTCAAGAGGGTTGTTGAGTGACTTGGCCGGTTGATTCGTGTCACACGACCAAGGCAGACTCAGCGTTCGTACGAAACGCTTTAAACAGCACAGTACCGGGTTTCTCAGGCGTATAACGACTGGCTCGGCTGTAGTCAAGCAATGCCATTGAAAAGATACTGACAGTCTATGTGGTACACGGTAAATGACTTGAAATGACTCATTTGGCATGACTGCGTGCCTGGTATCAATTAGGTGGGACACAATCGAGATTTTGGCTGAACTGTTGAGGTTAATGGTATTCCGGTAATAGAGGTGCTCGCGTATTCTCTTAGAAAGTTGTCGTGTCGTGCACCCAACATACTCCCCTGAACAACAACAGGAGAATGCACAACCATATTCTGGGTAGGGACTGACATCTTGTCTTTGAGGTTTAAGTTGAGCAAAGGGTTTGTTGTAGACCAGGACCGCAGGGTTGCAACTAAAAACGTGCATTGTAGGGAGTGAAACAAACGTTGATTGACTATATCAGCCAACAGATCGCCTTTATACGATAAACTCAAGTATATTGGCTTCTTTGCAACGGTCATGATAGGCGGGGCTATGTACTATGGATTCTGCACAAATCCTCTGTGAGCTATGCTTGGAGATATTTTCGATCAGCATTATGAATTCTCTTAAACTAGAGATATTTTTTTCAGTGGCGGTCTGTAGGTGGCAACTGATGATAATCTAGCGAATATACACTCATTTGCAAACTAATTTGGTTGCTGAAAATCCGTAGACAGCCCACGATCGGTTTCGCCCTTCTTACGGCTCAGCAACTAGGCGCAGTCCCCGGGTTTCCGTCAACCTTATGTTCTACTTGAAACCAAATTGCACGAAATTAGCGAATATACACTCATTTGCAAACTAATTTGGTTCTTTCGAGAGACTCACCTGGAACCCAGCTGAATCTCTCGTTTATGATGTTCTCAGACAACCAGGGGACTGCGCCTACCTGACGAGCCCCAAGAAAGGCGAAACCGGTCGTGGGCTGTCGACGGATTTTCAGCAACCTTATGAGTAGTACATTACAATGATGATAATCTAGTTTTCCAGCAAACCGTAAGGGCATAAAGAATGTAAAGGTGGAGAATTCAAAAGCAGTGCACATAAACGTATGCAACTGTTTTTCAAGCAATGAAGGCAAATTAGATTGATCCCGAATAAAACTACACGTTAGGTATGATAGACTTAGCTCAAAATAGCCATCCGCATATGTATGACCGAATAAGCACGATTTAGTTGATCAGCGAAGCACATCGATTGCCAGTCAGTTGTTCCAAAGTCCTTCGCTCAAGCGCACTAGCTGTGATGATCACAGCTACGCGTAACGGCTTTTATGCTATATTCCACAAGGTGACTGGATTTATTCGACGGAGTGGGTAGCGGGCTGCATGGCCCGTAACCTTAGCAAGGATCAGCACAAATATGATGGTGACTTGACAGCAGCGTAACCTTAGCAAGGATCAGCACAAATATGGTGACTTGACAGCAGTAAATGGCCTGGATGAGGGACGGCGACACAGGACAACAGTAAGCTCGTGAGTTAGAAACACGGCCTGGTATACGACTGGTTGGGCAGCCTGCATGCAGAACTGTGGGCATCAGGCAGGATGTGACAGTGGCACACCCGCATTCGGCTAGCAATGCCCTGAAAAACCCTATCCTGTTTTCATCAACCTTTCTTTGTGAATCACTTTTCAGTCTTGGCCGGGGAACAACGACCATATTTGAACAGTAAAGGCGTGCTGCTCTTATGTGACAAACTGTGATCGGGACCATTAATAATCAGATCAGCCTAAGAAACGTCGGTTTGACGATCTAGCGAACGAGGAACCGGGCAGGACAATTTGGAAATCAACGAATTATATTGGATAGCAGCACACATGGCCAACTTACCTCTTCGGTTGCTACTATCAATTTTCGCATGAAAGAATTTGAGGGCCTGATGGATGTCATATAGTCCAGAAGTGTCATCATGTCCCTCCAGTCTCCGCAAAGCAACGCCCTCCAGTCAACAAGATCTGTGACGTGGTCGAAGCAAAAAAAGCTGTGATTGATTAACAAGAAGACAGTTACCGAACACTCGGAATATTCCTGGTTAGTTTTTTAAGGTATCCATTAGGCAGATCATACATACTGGCAACAGTGAGCTTTCTGACAATTTCTGCTGACTTTTCTGGTGTGAAGGTGCAATAATTTCACTACAATAAAGCTTTTGTGACTATACAAACCGTGCAAACCTTGGCAGAGGTAATTTTAATGTTGTCATTTAATCACCTGCGCTCCCAATCAGCATCAAGGACTCTGCACCAGTGCTTTTCCCCTTTGTAGTTTAATCGCTTTTCGCTAAAAACACGATAATCCTACATCACCATAGTCTCGAAAAAAGTAACGGTCGCTTATGACGATTCCACCTGCCCTTCTCGACTGAACAAGTTGCTTTGTACAAACCAAGAGAACCTTTGGTAATGTGTCTAAATACTTGTGCGTTGGGTGGGTTAGTTGGCTGTTGATCAGTTGGCAGTTGATCTGTTCACCGAGGCAAGTAACTGGTTTGCAAACGTCTCGCCACCATGCAAGGACGCATCGTCATTGCGCGCTCTGACGCGTGTCATATTTCATAGGCAATGGAATTACTGTCAAGGTGGAATGACCGGAAGGTCCGCAGTTTGAACCTAACGCTGGGCTTCTCGACTGCTCCTGTCAAGGCTCGGGCAGTCTGGTAGTACCTCAGTCCTCGTGCTTCCTTCGGGTGGCATGACAGCTGTGCACCGAAAATGTGTTACAGCTGAACGAGCGTTATTACTATTAATATTACTACTATTATTATTACTGGGTCACAACCCTCAAAGTGACGTCTCACTCACTAATAGGACTCGCGTGAGTAGAGTATACACTTGCATAAGGCTATCTGACTCCGTATGGTGTGACGAACCCTATAACACACCCTTGTTATTTTAGTGGTCAAAAGTACACACATACGGACGCCAAATTAAACGGATTCCTGATTGAAGTCTTGGATGTCAGCGTTTCGCAACAGAAGTAAAGACACTCTCGAGACTGGGACACAATGGAGGACAGGCTTAAACGAATTCACGAAGCTGAAGCAGCAACCTGGCCCACTGGCTATCAGAATCATCCAGACACCAGTTTTGTTCTACAGAGCTGACAAAATCTCATATTCCTGAATTTCCTTGATGCTCTCAAATGCATTTGACAATCCAGCTTTCTACGAACTTGAATTAGTAATCGTGTTTTTCTTTATGAATGACATCACTATGGCAACTGCCAACTCATTATCATTATGGGCACTAGTCAGCGTTTGTTGGAGACTAGTTTGTGACATAATGCAGTTCTGTCTTATACATAACTTCATAGCCAAAGCAGTCCCTGGTTTTCCTTAAAATTACAGCTTATGTTGTGCAGAGCCTTGAAAACAGGATAAATACACCAGCGAAGGCAGTATAGGATTGTCTCTTATCCTGGATTCAACTCACCAACTGCATGCAGCTGTTCTTCATCAAGTATAAGACTCGCGAGACACTCAATCTCAGTGCTTGGCGCAGACATCGTGTATCACTATCTGCGCAAAATGATCACTATGTTTGTGTATGCAGCACAATTTATGTCCTCGCAAATGAAGGTCATCGATTCATTGCAGGGTGTGACAGCTCCAACTAGCCAATGAGAGTCGCAGTGCCGCACACTCAGCAGCTGACCATTTGCTCTACTCTGTCACGCACCAGTCGAAACAAAGCGTCCCGACTAGCTGTCGCGTCGGGATTTCAGGCCACAAAACAGCACGAGATGAGTTAGTGATCACACGATAGAAAAATAGCTTACTGAGAAGTTCGCTTGTGTCTGTCGGATGTTCCTAATAATTTGTCGATTCTTGTAGAATGTGAATTTGGCAATCAATCCCTCCTACCCTTACCTGTTAAATGGAGCACTACTGGTTATTTAACATGGAGGATGCAAAGACGACCTAAACATCAATTTAGTCTGAATGAATACTTTTTTCGAAGGATGCCTGCTCTTCGTGGCTAGAACCAGCTAAAACCACAACGAAATGATTAGCCAGTGGTTCTCAACGGAACGGTTCTGAACGGAAAGGAATGTGTCATCCCAGCCTTTAGTCTGGCTTCATTTAACTGAGTCCATAAACATGACTTAAACAGGCTCCACGCGCGGTTGACGCTACACTGTTTCGATTGGTTAACTTTGTCTGTCCGTCAAGCGATCACCTATTTTTACCAAGCGCTTTTTCACACGCTTTGTTCACGTTGTGACTCGCTCCACACGCGTTCCGTGCGCATTGTTGTGAGCCTTTTCCGTGACCTAGTGGGCTGCATCATCTAGGTACGGGAACCACACGACCTTAGTGTGTAACCTGGTGGTAGTAGCGCAGGCCGAAAGAGCAATGCGTCGGGTCACACCCATTTCGACCCAGGCCTGGCATGTGGTAGTATGTCACATCTTGTCATCGAGCCGTTCGACCGCCTATTCAGATCTAAATCCGTCATTTTTTGGCTGTTGGTCTTGGTATCAGGTCCATTCTAGATGGGATAGTGATGAAACTTGTCGAGCTTTCCGGCTGGTGGATGAACTGGGCAGTTTTGAACCATAGGGACTGAAACTAAGTTTTGAGGCAGCACTCACGCTATATCTGCAAACGGTGGGTGCACACATTAGAACATTGCACAGGAAGTACTGTGTTATTTCCGCAAATGGTTACCGTTTCACTTGTATGGAATTTCAGTGACTAGGGTTGAACATTTCTTGCAATGGCAGAGCTCATGTTCTGGCAATTCATCCGCCATCAAGATCATGTGACATCAAGTGAGTTTTGAACAACAAAACCAGAATGCTAAAAGCTAGATAGACAATTGTTAAATGGTTCAAACTGCAAATAAGTAGGAAGAAAAAATTGTCCATTCCTCTTCTTGACCTGAGGGAGACCTCCCGATTGAGAACCACTAAGATAGACACGATATATATAACTTATTGGCATAAACTCTTCGTGAGTGCAAGCAGAGTACAGTTATTTAGATCAGCCAGTGAACTTGCTTAGACGGTGAAAAATTCCAAGCGTGGTTACGAGGCTCAAAAACAGGATCCGATTGCCAAACCTCTCAAATTTTACGCTAACCAGTGAAAGCGTTGATGTGCATCACTTACAATTTGAAATCAAGTGGAGCGATTTACTCTACTGGGGTGAATAGCCTCTGACTTACATTCCTAAAGGTTGAAAGTATAATTCAGACCAAAGTTCCACTGTGGATGAATCATGACTCACACACCAAGGTGGCTAATGTTTGCTAATATTTAAATGTTATTTTTATGGAGTGAAATGGTATCTCTACAGTGGTATCGGCGGCCGGTAACTTCAGGTACATTTGATTCGAGGTCACACCTCGTGATATTTACGCTCACTTATTTGTTCAGTTGCGCATTACACTCACGGTCTACATAACTTGAGATGCAGCTAGCGAATATACACTCATTTGCAAACTAATTTGTTTTTCCGAGAGACTCACCTGGAACCCAGCTGAATCTCTCGTTTGTGATGTTTCCATGCAAATGAATGTGCTGCACCAGGCCGCCCCATGTTTCAGTCGCTACGATATTCGAGATATCGCGATACATGTACATATTTGTAATGCACTACTCATAAGGTTGCTGAAAATCCGTAGGCAGCCCACGACCGGCTTCGCCCTTCTTACGGCTTATTTCGTGCGATTTGGTTTCAAGTAGAACATAAGGTTGACGGAAACTCGGGGACTGCGCCTACCTGATGAGCCCCAAGAAGGGCGAAACCGGTCGTGGGCTGTCGAAGGATTTTCAGCAACCTTATGAGTAGTACACTGAGACGCAGCTTTTTTGGACTATGTTAACCGAGGTCTCCCCCAAAACACCACGTGAATATAGCATAGCGTTTTTAAGACATTCTTGAGTTCCTTTGTTTTTATTTCGTTGGGTTTAGTCGCTTGAGGTACTAACGCCAGAGTTTTTTCTCGAAAGTTACGACGTCTGTCGTCTGACGATTGGAGGTTTTCTTCGTCTAGGATGTGCATAGTAGAACGGTAGGTTGGGACACAATCCTCAGTTGGGATCAATTCTTTAAAGTGCGTCATCCATGCTTACAGGGACCTCTTTTGATTTTTCTCGTTCAATTACGGCAATAAATCTCATCAACTAAGTACCCAAATTGCAGGAACCACAAGCAAGTAGTGGGTTGCACTACCCGTTTCACCGTCCACCTATAGGGTTCGATTGCTTTTGACAGGTCCCGTTGGTGGTCGGTGAATCCCTCGGTTGTGATCAAATAGTCGTTATATATATATATATATATATGTATATATATATATATAAAGCAGTGCAGTATTAGTCTATTTTCAAAATAATGATACAAACGGTATTGCATGCATCAGTCCGAAAAGCACGACGGCTTCATATAATCATACCACCATAAAGCTTTACAGACTGTAATTGGCGTACTTGATAGTTGTTTATCTGTTAAATTCACCACGCCATCTTCAAGATTATATAGTATTTCTGAATTTTCACCATCCATAGCCTCACCCTTATGTGAANGTTATGTATATATATATATATATACATATATATATATATATATATGTATATATATATATAAAGTAGTGCAGTATTAGTCTATTTTTAAAATAATGATACAAACGGTATTGCATGCATCAGTCCGAAAAGCACTACGGCTTCATATAATCATACCACCATAAAGCTTTACAGACTGTAATTGGCGTACTTGATAGTTGTTTATCTGTTAAATTCACCACGCCATCTTCAAGATTATATAGTATTTCTGAATTTTCACCATCCATAGCCTCACCCTTATGTGAAAAGATTAATATAGCATTTTTGTTTGTGTATTTCAGGGAATTATGGATACGAGGGTTGAAATTTTCACTGTTGATTGATCATTCAGAACATTTCAGAATGAGTTAACAATCGTTAACCTTTTTCAGAAGAGAAGCCTCTACGAAGCAGAGCTAGAAGACAGGATTACCAAGCATAACACAGCAAGGTAGGGCGACCCGAAGGTGAAATTTCAATGCAGCTGCCAGGAATAAGAGCAGCCAGTTGGTCAGCTAAGCTAACAAAAATAACGAAGCTAACACTTTATAGCAGCAAACAATGGTTCTCTTATTTTGTGATTCACTTCTAACATGGTTCGCATTTTTGTGATCCTCACGATTTACACATTCAAACCACTTTTTGCTGGTTAGGGACAGAGCCTGTTCGCTTTGTTTTGACGATTGTATCCCACAGACGCGGAAGCTCTGTGCCACCGGAAGGCAAGTTATCCCATGATAAGGATTAAGTCAATGTGAAAAGACAAACCCCGGTGTCTGTTGTCTAGCCCTGAGAAGTATCCAATTGACTCACTCATGACTAATGACAAGCTCATGATAAATACCGGAAATACATTGTGGTGGAAGGTATTCGTTATTGAACACTGTCTCTATAATTTCAACTTCTTTGAACAACAGACCAGAATTTTCGAAAAATACACTCATTGGCAAATCAATTTGGTTTTCACGAGAGACCTAACTGAATCTCTCGTTTATGAGATTCTACAACTGAATGTGCTGCACACAGGCCGCCTTATGATTCAGTTGGCACGATATTCGAGATATCGCAGTATATTTTCATAAAGGAAACTACTCACAAGGTTGCTGAAAACTCTTCAACAGCCCACGACCGGTTTCGCCCTTCTTGGGGCTCATCAGGTAGGGGCAGTCCCCGAGTTTCCGTCAACCTTATGCTCTACTTGAACCCACATGCAACTGTTTCCGAGAAATACGCTCATTTGCAAATTAATTTGGTTTTCACGAGAGATTTAACTGAATCTCTCGTTTATGAGATTCTACAACTGGATGTGCTGCACACAGGCCGCCTCATGTTTCAGTTGGCACGATATTCGAGATAGTGCAGTATATTTTCATAAAATATGAAAACAAGGTTGACGGAAACTCGGGGACTGCCCCTACCTGATGAACCCCAAGAAGGGCGAAACCGGTCGTGGGCTGTCGAAGAGTTTTCAGCAACCTTGTGAGTAGTTTCATTTATGAAAACAGACCAGAAGTTTCTTCCGCTGGCTGAAGTGGCGTTTAAGATCATGCATCCTTAAGCCTGAGTGCACACTTACTAAATAAAAAATCACCTCCACCACTGAAGACACTCCTGATACTACTGATAAACATATCAAAAGTTGGCCGTTGGTTTGTTCGCTGATCTGGGCGATTTGATCGCAAACGTTTCACCACCGATTGAGATGACATCACCAGTGCGTTGTGGAACGTAACGGTGGGTTGGTGGTTACGTAGACAAACGAGCGTGGTCCATACGATTTTGTTTCATTCACTTGTGACAAACTGCTTGCGCTTGGTCACTATTTCAGAGATCCTGAATCTGATAGTTCTCTTCAAACTACCCGATCAAAGGGCGCACAGAACGTATTTAGAAAATATTCGTCTAAACCTTGGAATAATGGTGAGCCAACAATAAATAGTTCCACATATCGAGCTCCTTATTATAGTTACCTGGACTGCGGATGATAATTTTCTATAAAAACTTCGTACCGTGGTGAAACGAAATCACTTGGTTTATAACTATATGCGAGGTATCCATGGTTATTCTAACCTCCATCCTATGATTTGGAGGAAGACGTCAACACCTAGGTTGTAATATTAAAATCGGAATTGTTTGCTGACCTAACATTTCTATTACAAGTGCATCGTCACCAATCTAGGTGTTGTAGTGATGCACAGTGTGTAGTATAGGTTACTCGCATAAAATAATGCCGATATTCATGACTCGGGAATGAAATGACTTCCTAAATAAGCCAACAGCAAACATTTCACACCGAGTTCTACAATAGCTGCCATGCCACGGGATATCGTTGTTTCCGTTTTAGGGGAATGTAATGGTCCTTTCGAACGCCCTGCACTGCCACTTTTGCAATCAATGGACTCACACGAGCTGCTGTGCTATGACAGATGATAACGGTCCAATCTGAACTTCACCTGCGATCTTTGTAGCTCAAAGACTAACCTTTTCAGGAATTTGGCCGATAAAACACTAACCTCTACGTACACGTTTCATGATGTTCAGAATGACAGCAGGTTCATATCAGTCTGGTCTATTCGACGAAGTCACTGATATCTCATGGCTTTTTTCTTTGTCCACTGATGACTCAATTCAGAGGGTTCTGACCCGCGAATCGCCT